CCCTCTGACATTCCAAGATCTGATTTCCAATTCACCTCTACTCTTGTTACTTGCCCTTGGAGTCCTGGCAACCCTGCTTCTTAGGGTCTCTCTTTCCTCGGGCATTTGATCTGGTTAGAGCCTAGAGGTTTGTTGGTTCTGTGGAGATCTGTCTGTGTAAGAGGATAGGGTGGGTAGATGCAGGGGTTCCTGGCTCATGGAGGGTTCCCCTGCGTCTTTCCCCAAAGCCTGCATCGACTTTTTCAATCCCTTTCCCCTTTTGCTGAAGATTCTCGTTGCAAGTGTTGTTTCCACACTTGCTGTTGTTGAGACCATTGATGTTTCTGACCCCAGTGCAGTGAATGGGAGTTGTGTTATTTCCCACCATGGTTTCCACTGCATTTCTTCACCCAACACAGTGTCTGACCCATATAAGGCGAGTATTGGTCTGGTGTCCAAGCTGACACCTTCCTTTGTCTCTCCCCTCTCCCCCAGTTCATGCACCTTCAGAGCCTCTCCCACGAGACCAATTGCTATTGGTTTGGCACTTGGTATAGCTTTGGACAGAAACTCGTTTCTGCTTTGTCCCTTTTCAAGCTTCAAGAGGGCGAAACTTGGGGAAGTTGCAATCTGCCATTCTTCGGTGGCTGCATCTATTTTCACTGGGATCACTATTCGCGTGGGAAGCAGCGTTCTGCTCTCTTGCTTTGCTCTCTCCTAGAACGCAAAATGTAATTGGTCGTTCAACCCTTCCACTGTGATTATCTTGAGCATGAGCTCGTGGTTGAGTCGGGAAAGTCTATCCACTTGGGACTCCAGTATTTGTGCTTGCAGTACTAGGTGGTTTCTTTCAACCTCTTCGTTGTTCTCATCCTTGTAATGACCCGTCAAAACACAGACTGAGAACACTGCTGATTTATGAAGTTCGGCCGATGGAATGGATGCCTTGCTGAGATTCCCGCATTCTGCTGTGTTTTCTAAGTCTGTCTGTGTGTGCGTGCTTGTGACCTGCGTGCCTGTCTGAGTGCTTGTCGGTATGAGTGCGTGTGTGACCCGCAAGGGTACTTGCTTGTTTGGCAGGCCCGTAGGGCCGGTACTTACCTGTGGCCGTGGCATTGAGGGTTGTAGCAGGGAAAAACACTCAAGTGGCCAAGCTAGCGGCCCTGCGGCCCTTGGGGTAGCTGAAAAACACTCAAGTGGGCCGGTAGGCCGATACTGCACCCCACTGCAGTTGGCGTGAGGGGGTACTTGAGGCCGAGCAGAAAAAGACAAAGTTGGCATTTTTAGAGTCCAATAGCGGTAGGGTAGGTCTAGGCCGGTACCAGTCCAACCAGTCTGAGTCTAGAGCTTGTACGGGTAATATCAGGGTCTGCAATGATGTTTCCCTCCGAAACGGTGGAGGTACCGGTTGCTTGGAGAGGCCGAGCGGCATGGAAGTCACCGCCCAGGAGGCAAGTAGGCCGCTATATCAAGAGGCCGGGCGGAGAGCCCAGCCTCATTCTTCAGTGTGCAAGTTTGGCGACGCGTTGCTGGAGCGCTGGCTGGAGTGGCGCTCGATACTACAGCGCTGCTGGGAGGAAGAAGTCGGGAGCTTCCACCTTGGCTATGGTGGAGCTCTACCCATAGGAGGAGGAGGGAGAAGGGGACCGAGGAGGAGAGTGGCGAGGCACTTACCTGGCTATGATAGACACCATCTTCATCTCCTTGCTAGGCGCTGCATCAGGAGGCCCCAGTGGGGGTAGTGCCGCATCAAGGAAGCTCGGGACAGAGTCAGGCATGGTGGCTGAGTGGGCAGCGGCATAGCTGCATGGTGATGGCCTTGAAGTGGGCCAGCGGCATAGCTGCTCTGGGTTGTCCTTTGGACAGGAGGCTGAAGCCTCAATAGTCCGCCATAGCCTCGGCCTGAATGTAGAGAAGAGCAAGGGTGGCCATGGCTATAGTGGACCTCATGTTGAGCCTGCGGTAGAAGTGGGATTCAGACATTGATTCTGGTTCAGTCATTCAACATTATTGTTGTTATTTCTTGTTTGAATAAGAGGGAGGAGATAAGGAGGAAGGGATTGGTTGGTGAAGAAGAAGAGCCTTGACATTGGTCTATGCTGGAGTACATCATCATCTTCTTCTTTCTCACTTCTTCTTCTTCTTCGTTCCCTCTCTTTCCTCTCAAGTTCATTCATTTCTTTTTGCAATTGGATGGCATTGTACTTTCAGATGAATGTATACTTCGAATTTGGCCAGGATCGTAACATTGGTATCAGAGCGGATTCTACTTGCTGGCGAAAGTTGACTTTGCTGCCATAACCCTAACCCTAGTGGTAAGGGATAACCACTTAGGGTTAGGGCTGGAAGTTAGGGTTAAGCGGGGCAGCGTGGTAAGAGGAAGCTGCTCCCACCTGGCAGGGCCGTGTAGGGTCAACACTAGACCCGGCCAGGTTGTTTGAGTGCATGTTTGTGGTGGCGAGACACAAGGTGGGACTTCGTGATGCAATTTGAGAGAGGCGACAGTGAAGGGCACCTACAACTTGAATTTGGACTTCAAGGAAGACGAGGAGTGACTTTAGGGCTCCCCTAAAGTAGGCGAGCTTGAGGGTGGCAGCCATATCTGCACCTACGGACTGCAAGTTGCTGCTTTGATCTTCAACATCGACGGGGGATCCG